TGATTAGTACAGTAATATGATACTTCTTTTCTTTTAAATTGAATGAGCTTTTTTCAACTATTTAACTCAAGAAGACATATCCACTTTGTTGGCAATATGTTTCTTATTAAGATATATATGAGATTTGCCATATAATGATTTTATTTTTTGTATCTAATTTAATGTGGTTTTGATTTTTCACCCCAAAAGGCGAGATGTCGTGTAACCCTTCCTTTGGGGGCATCGGGAAGGGGCATTTAATGAGAGAAGTTGATGCCCTCGATGGACTTTGCAGCAGAATATGCGATCTGTCTGGAGTGCATTACAAGGTTTGTGGTGTTGATGAATATCTTGGATATCTATGTCTCTATAGCATTCTACCTCAAAGGATATGTTTATATTTTTATAATTGTTAATTGAATATATTGTATATATATATAATTTTCTTCTTCATCTTCTTCTTCTTCTTCTTTTTCTTCTTCTTCTTCTTCTTCTTCTTCTTCTTCTTCTTCTTCTTCTTCTTCTTCTTCTATCATAATTTCTCAGTTTCTTTCCTGAACATTCTTGTTGGCTTCATAAATTGTGTCTTTTTTATTTACATGCAATATAGAGTATGAGTATTGATAATGTAAGGATATTCTGCTTGTAAATTCTAAGCAAACTTTTTCCCACAGATTCTGAACCGCAGAAAAGGTCCAGCAGTTTGGGGTCCTCGGGCACAGATAGATCGCACCTTATACAAGCAACATCTCCAAGAAGAAGTTTTCCAAATTCCAAACTTAACAATAGTCGAAGGAGCAGTGGAAGACCTGATCTTAAGGGAAGGCAATGATGCTAACAGCAGCCAAGAAGGTGATTTTTTTTTTCTCTTTCTCTCTCCTTCCTTTCATTTTTTTCATGTATAAATTCTAACAGTTCCTTTAGTTGAATGAATTATGTTCATTTGGGTTCAATATCTTCAGTTTCTTTTGTATTTGGAAGAAGTACATTTTGGACCTTTTTGTTTTCCTATTAGGTGTAGTAATGACTGCATATGTATTAAAATATTGATGATAATTATGATGCAAATGACTTGAGATAACTTTTTAAGATCTTGGTAAAAATTTACATTAATATCAAAGTTTTCTCTCATAGTTACTGAAAGATGATACTTCTTAAATACTTATTTGCTTAATATTTATTCAGACTCCTCAAGACTGGCTGAATGCAGTGGCATTATTCTCGATAATGGTGAAGAGATTCGATGTGGCACCGTTGTCATCACCACCGGGACTTTCCTGAATGGATCAATTAACATCGGGTTGGATGTCAAACCAGCTGGCAGACTGGGTGATGCCCCTGCTATTGGATTGGCAAATACCTTAGATAGATTACAGTTTAAGCTTGGTAGACTCAAAACAGGTTTGTATTACTTTGCCTCTGTGTTTTTATTTTTTGATGTTCTGGTAACTAATTGCCATGAAGAAATCTGAAATATTGATTTTGTTTAAAACTATGTGAGATTTTTGTCATAGGAGGACATGAAAATGGTTAAAAAGAATTTCCTAAGTAATTTCTTCTCTCTAATATTTCCCTCATTTCAGGAACTCCACCGAGAATAGCTAAGGACACCATCGATTTATCAGTTTGCTTAACACAAGAGCCAGACGACCCTCCTGTGCCATTCTCCTTTATGAATGAGAAAGTTTGGATCAAGGTAAAAGCTCCTAAAGATACTGCATATAGCATCACTATAGTATAATAGAAGACTTTCTCTTACATGACTGGTGATTATTTTCTGATCCTATGCATATATTTAGCATAATGGAATTAGTATTTTTGTTTGAGAAGGAGTAGTTCTATTTATAGATGTCATTTATGATGTAACATGAATCTACAGCCTGAAGATCAACTCCTATGCCACCTTACCTATACAACGGAAGAGGTTGACAAGATCATCAGAGAAACCTTACACCTAAATCGACACGTGCAAGAAGAAACACGTGGACCCAGATATTGCCCTTCAATAGAATCCAAAATCCTGAGGTAAATAGGAGAACTTTGATTTAATATTTATATTTATTGTTTGAATAGAAAAAAAGCAAATACTTACTTCTGTATCACTATGAGCATATGGATATCATATTATAATTGGTACTTATTCATTGTTGATTTTTCCTTGAAACAAATAGATTTAAAGGAAGAAGACACCAGGTTTGGTTGGAACCAGAAGGGTTGGAGTCAGAGCTGGTGTATCCACAGGGCTTATCATGCACAATGCCCCCAGAACACCAGCAAAAGATGATAAGGCTTATACCAGGCCTAGAAAACTGCAAAATGATTGTTCCAGGTTAGATGCTGATGAGTGTGGAGTAGACACTGTAATAACTATGGGCTTTGGAATATCACTCTCTGTCTTTCTTCCTTTTGCCTTGTCTGTGTATCTGTGTATATATAAAAGAGAGAAAGATTAGGTGATGTATGTTTATGTACTCTTTTGATAATTTTTCTGATTTTACATGAATGTTTAAGAGTTGATACAAAAACATCAATTATTTCCAACCTATTTTTATATAAACTTTAATGCCCAGGTTACGGAGTGGAATATGACTACGTAGATCCAAGAGAATTAACTCCCCAGCTGGAAACGTGTCGTATCTCAGGGCTTTTTTTGGCTGGTCAGATCAATGGTACAACTGGCTATGAGGAAGCTGCTGCCCAGGGTATTATTGCTGGAATAAATGCTGCATCAAAGGTGATTTGTAGTAGCTTTTGTGTTTTACTTCTGATATTTACACTAATTCTTGGACTATTCTTGAGATAAACTGGTAATCAGGATTAGAAGTGTTTATATACATGAAACAAATTATATGGAAACTTCTCTTTCAGGCATTAAAGAGAGAAGGCATAACTGTAGACCGTACCGAGGGCTACATTGGTGTCCTTATTGATGACCTAACAACACAGGGCACCTCCGAGCCATACCGAATGTTCACCTCTCGTGCTGAGTATAGGCTACAACTGAGGCCTGATAATGCTGACCTACGACTGACTGAAAAAGGTAGGCTTTGATTTCAATTGTTTTCATTTGTGTTTATTTGTTTTTTAGCAGTAGAGGATTCTTTTTTATTTCTTAAGATTCCTAGCATTTTGGGGGCTCCCTACTCTTTATTCATCTTCTTAGATCTTATACAGATGTAGAAAGGAAGTAAGTTCAATCCATCACCAGATAAAATAAAGATTGCAAGGATAATCTATCAGTTTTCCAATAGATTTCATCCTCTATAATCAGAGCTAGGAGAGAATGCATGATTGTTCTTTCTGTGTGTAAGCTGACATGTTACATTATGTTTGATTAGACAAATTATTATAAGAGATGGGAGAAACTGACCAAAAAATATGTTCTTTTGCCTGGCAGGATACAAGGTAGGATGCGTATCAGAGGAGAGGTTCAAGAAGACCGTCTACATGAGAGAGAAGCTGGCAGAAGGCCTAAGTGTACTTCGAGATGATGTTCGTAGCTTCAGGACTTGGGCCCAGCTGCTCCACAGGCAGGAACCCAAAGCACCTGTACTCAAGAGGTAAGTTCCTTGTTTCAGTGATTTTTGAGCTTTTTTTTTTTTTTTTTCATTTTGTTTTTCATTTTCCTCATCATATCTTCCTGTACCTCTTCCTCCTCCATTTCTTTCTTCCTTTATACTGCCTTAATCTAGTTCTTATTCTTCCATTGCTTCCTCCTCCTCCAATATTTTATATATTACATATGATGTTACTGTATCAAAAAGTAAAGTAACAATAACAAATCTCATTTTCCTACAAAAGAATTACTTGTCTTAATTGCACCCCCATTCAGTGGTCTGGAACTTCTTGGAACTGCAAACTGGCACATTACCATTGAGGAAATGGCAAATGCTGAACCAGCCTACCGTCCTTTTGCAAGCGACCCCAAGGTAGCAGAGAGGCTGAAGATTGAAGCCTTGTACACTGATCACGTGGCAGCCCAGAGTGAAGAAATTGAAGCGGTTCGCAGGGATCTTTCCCTTGTCATCCCTCTCGATATGGATTACTATTGGTATGCTTGTGTGTGTGTGTGTTTTGCATGGAAGTGCCTTGATATATGAATGACTATGTTTGGTTTTCCTTCTTCAAATATGTGGCTATTTTTTTAAGATCATTCCTATTATGCTTGCTTTTTTAATGGGAATCCCTGTGTTGCTTGCAGTTCTTCCATCAACATATCAAATGAAATGCGGAGCAAACTATCAAAAGCCAGGCCAGCTACGGTAAGAGATGTGGATTGTTAATGACCTAGAGGTACCACTGATAATAATATATGATATAACATTAGTTGTTGAAATAAGGGACTTCATGCATTGGTGGCAGGTAATCACCCTGCTTACTATAATTTTCTGCACAAAAGCTGTCACTTGGAAGTTAATTTACATCAATATTGTCATTATCAGTATTGATATTATAATGTTATTAACAATACTATAATATTAAACAGTAGAAAACCTTTTTTTTTTTGTTATTTATAGTGATACTGTCATTATTACTTTTGATATTTTGATTATTATAATGTCATTAACAACACAAATAGTATAGAGCAATGGAAAAGAATCAAGGAAAAAGGTAAACAGGTTAGGTAGATAGAACTAGTAGTCGACTTCTTGGAGACTCAACACTTGTGGAGCCATCTACACATAAAAACAATTAATAAACTAAAAGGACAGTGGATATAGCATGTATTTTTGCCATCCTGGTATCATTGGCTTAAAGATAAAGATTGTATGTCAGCTTTCTCTTTTGCCTTTTCCAACCCAGATTGCTGCTGCAACCCGTGTGGAAGGTGTCACTCCAGCTGCAATTGTAACCTTGTTGAGATATGTGCAGCGCAGGCAGCTCGAGTATGCCCAGATGTTGTGAACGACAGTCAGCTTAGTTAAAGTAATCTTATGTATTTATTAATAAAATATATTTATTTTGTTTATATTTTATTAACACCAACAAATTGTTCAACAAGATGATTTGCATAACAGTAGATTGGACCTAACATGAATTTTCCCTGAGTCATTACATTTTGATTTCAAGGTCAGGATATTCCAGTATCTAAATTTTCTTCTAATTAATTACTTTTCAATCTATTACAGATGAAATAACAAGAGAATTCACAATATAAATTGATGACTAAACAATAAAACAGTATGCATAAATAGCTTTCTCTTTCATTGGGGTGATCTTTGCAGAGTAAAGATTTTCAATAATATGAAACTAAGTAATTATATCTTCCTTTAATATTTTCAGTGCCTTTTGTTTTCCTTCCATTCTTTCCCCTCGTCATCTTTCCTCTTCTCCTCTCTCTTTGTCAGTATCTCTCCAATTTCTCTTTCTCTTCCTGTCCCCATGCCTTCCTTTATGGTGGACAATCCCTCCTGTCTTGCTTTTGGAATAAAGAGGTGTCCAGTCCAAGGGAATGGGCAATGTATTTTGCTTTCTTAGCCGTCTCATAGGTCGGGTGTTGGATCTTGGAGAGGAACCACAGGATCTCTGCAAAGATAGATATAGCTAATATCCAAGAAAGACAAAGTACATATTCAAAGAAAGAAAACAAGAATAATGGTTAGGTTCCTCTTCATGATAGGTAATTGGGTCAAAGGTAAAACCAGATTTATAATCATAAGGCATCATAAACTAACATAAGTGATAAGCTTCATTAGGAAAAGTCATTGTCCACTTACGAGTGTGTGCTGTACCGAGAGGCAGTTCATCACACTGCCATGCCAGAGCATAGCTATAGTAATCAGTGGCTAAGATGCGGTACTCTCCTTGCAAAACTGAAAAGTAAGGGAAGAGCTTAGGAAAATAAGGTAATCTAGATACAATGAATACAATGTAAAATGTGGAAAAGATGAAAACAAATATTTAACTTGAGCTATCTTCATTTCTTTTACTGTTTGAAATGAATATCAATGTTGAATCATTCATTGAATCAGTGAAAAATACTCACTTGGGATGCTTGGCCGTTGTACAACATAATGAATAACTGCTGGCTCATTTTCATCAAAAGTTAATCCATTTTCTATGTTTAAGACCCTTCCTGTCCTGAAATAAAATAATTTTAATTGTTAGATTCAGTTATCAAATTTATAGCCAAGGATAAATTTGCATTTCACTCGGTTCATATTTACCAATTCAACAATTTATTTGCTTGATATAAAAGTATAGTGTCATTTTAGTGAATATGTGTGTGTGTGTGTGTGTGTGTGTGTGTGTGTGTGTGTGTGTGTGTGTGTGTGTGTGTGTGTGTGTGTGTGTGTGTGTGTGTGTGTGTGTGTGTGTGTGAGTTCGTGTGCGCGGGTGTGTAACATATGTTTATTGTTAATATATATTTATGAAAAATATTGATTTATTATTACATATTTCATGTTTATAATTTCCATACCTTTCCTATTAAAAGGAGAGAATATACAAAATAATTTCAGTGAATATATATATACACACATAGACGTACATATACATAGGTATATAAACACACACGCAAACACACACAAATGCATTTGCTAAAATATACTTACAAGTGGTCTTTCCAGTCGAGACGAGTGAAGAAGCCCTTGTGTTTGTCGTAGAGGTAGTTCTCGACCCAGCAGCTGCCGGCCAGGCCCTCGTAGGACACAAAGAAGCGTTCGATTTCGTACCAGCGACCTAGGAACTACGAGAAAGGAGAAAAGAGGGTCATTGGAATTGAACATTTGTCTTCTTTCTTTTTCTTTTCTTCTTCTCTTTGTCTATAACTTTGGCTATCCGGTACCTCAGTGAACCTGTAAATCAGGTTATCTATTTACCCATAGGTCTTCGTATACACTTCCATTCACAAATAAAAACAACTTTGTGCGGGCCTTAGAAAACATTCATCCTCAGTCCATATACCTATGTATCTAGTTATCTACTACTGCAGAATCAGTGTATCTATACATCAATCCATCTCTATAGAACACTATCTATTAGTAAAACCCATAGTCTATACATTTACACATCCATCTGTTCATTCGTAAAACGCATCATCGCGTGCGCCTATCCACTTGACCAACCCGGGAACACACCCACTATCCATCTGTAGAACACATTATCCACACCTAGATCGATCTATCAATCGCTCCGTTTATCTATAGACAACTTCGCCCATTCATCTCTCTCCCCACCCATTCACAGAACTATCTACAAAACGTACCAAATATCTATCTGTATAACTTGCCATCCACATGTTTATCCATCCATCTATATAGCCCATTAACCATTCATCTGGGCAACACACTACTCATACATCAATTTATCTATCTAGAGAACATATAATTTGTCCAATTACATAATCGTTGCCATACGTTGCAGTGATGGCGGTCTCGTCCAGGAGGCTTGCTGACCCGTGTTCAAATCCCGCACTGCCAGTGGATGGTAAACTTGGCCATTCCTTGCACACAAGAGGTAGTTTAGAAGCACAACAATCAAAAATAAGTCACGCTAACTCCTAAATTATTATTATTAATT